TATTGGTATCACTTATATTTGTATCCATATAACAAAAAAAATTGAAAAGAGAATAATTTTGCAATACCTTTTTCATATTGAATACTATAACTTTTTTTATATTTAGACATATTAAGTAGATTTTCATAATACCCACTTGACATGCTTGAAATTCTATCAGATTACTTTTGGAGCAGTTATGAGTCTTTGAAGCATGCTCACAAAGGTTTTTTTGTTGATATCGTTTTCATATTGGTCAAAACTTTTTTTTGCTTCGGCCAGCTTTGGAGGAGATGTTATCAAAGAATTGATAAAAAACAACACAGAAGTTTACTTTTTAGCTCATCTAGCCCCAAGCATCATGTCAGGCATTTTCATTACTAAAAACCAATAAATGTCTTCTAATCTGAGAAACAATTTCGACATTTTAACAAAATATTTTACTAATGATACTGACAATCCACCACAAAGTAATATAAATAGAACCATACAAATAGTGAGCAAATACATATAAAAAAGATGTGGTATGATTGCCAATGAGACAATTCTCCACAACAGACCAAAATGACACAGAAATTAACAACTACGGGTCAACGTACAGCCTTCAACAATGAGCAAAGCCCATAACGCATAGTCATTTATGTTATTTATGTACACAAAATAAACGAAAAACAAATATTATGTAACACATAGACAAACGACAACCACTGAATTACAGCCTCCTGATATCATGTTCTCAAATATCATCTCCCATTTAAAAAAAAATCACATGAAAAAATGAACCTATTATGTGTTGCTCTCCTAGCTACAAAATTTATCCAAAATCAAAGATGTGGAAAATATTCTATCATAATCATTTGGTCATTAATGCAATTAGTGTCTCTTCCATGCCCTCTTGAACATAAAATCTTAATATTAAATAAACAACACTCCTCATGCTCAGGTTGGTTGTCATCGTGCAACACAGTTAATAACACCATATAGGAAAAACATAGAACTCCTTTTGTCATATAAAACACTGTCAAACATCCAAACATACTATCCACATTCATCTGTGTCCACACTTGTTAATATTTGAATATATGTTAGATACACTATTTATTTCATATTTTATACAAAAAAGGTTCTGATCTTATATCTACAATATACTAGTCAGATATAAAAAAGAATAAAAGTTTCACCTTAGTGAAAGATGATGATGTCGGAATCGTTATATTTTTATGTTTCACCAACTTGAAATGTCTATGATCGTATATGTAATGAAATAACTGATATTTTCATAGATGGCACAGTTAAATATTCGATACATGGGTGTAAAATGGTAACTACATTCCTCTTGTGTTTGCGTTACTTCAACTTTTTATCAAAATGTGGGATCTGCTTATTGATGTGTGCACTACCCGAAGACTAACTCTCCAGCCCGAGGTAGATCATATTGACTTTGAATGTGCAATGCATACTGCTGTTTCAAAAATTTCATGCTGCTACAATCAGTTGTTGCAGGTTTCATTTAGGACAAAATTCAATGTACTCCTTAATTATTTTCTCGAAAAAGTAATAATTTATTTTTTCCGGAATCGTTACTATTTTCTCGGAAAAGTAAGGTATTTATTTGCGGAAACGTAGACTTTTTTTTGCGGAAACGTCATCATTTTTTCACGGAAAAGTAATGCCAATTTGCGGAAACGTAAAACACCGCATTTTATAGTGCCTGGAAAGCCATGCACTATGAAAATTGGAAGGGAAATAACTGAGTTTCCATTGGACGAGAAGGGGTGAGAATGTTCTAAACAGAAAAGAATGTCAACATTGAAAAGCGAAACAATGAAGCCACAGGGAATAACTATTTCGTTGACTGATCCGGCCAACAAAAAATCATTCTTATACAGGTAAAAAGATGATTTACCTATTTTGTTTAAACTAGAACACGAAATAAAACAGACCGATATAAAACGTCATTACACGATTGCACGTGCTTATCAGTTTATTATATTCATATTCATGTTTATATTGGGTGTATATGATCATTGGCAGTCTTCGGGGGTCATTTCGAAGGATAATTGGAAGGTGTCTAGTCTAAAATACGTAGGAATCGCTGATACGCTTTAAACGGAGAGTCTTTGCATTGTTAATCGTTTCTTTTGGACATTTTGTTATTTGGATATATGTTTTCATATGTTATAGATAAAATATGAGAATTTGGATCAAATCGGTGAACATGAAATTGACTGCTAATGTCCCTTTAATAATGACATATAAACCTTACAATCATACAGGAGTTGGCCTAGTAGTACCTGAAAACCGGACCTAATCACACACACTTAAAATTGACCAATACCATAAAACTGACGCCAAGGTCAGATGAACCCATTGATCCTACCAGACGGACATGTACACTTAACAATCATTCCATACACCATGGAAGTATTATAATATAATACTTCCATGCATTCACTAAATATAGTTGATTTCCTGCGTTAAGCGCACCTTCACAGATTATTCACCATTGTGAATGTGGGCAGTATTTGGAAGAAGAAAAAGAGAATCGTACCTAATCACAAAAACGCAACTGAACGTTCACGACGAACCCTGCCGGTAAGACTGACATGCATATAACAATTATTCCACACAACATATATAGTTAACCTACAGTTTATAGTATCTGAAAATGATCTTATATCGAAAATTAAATATTGACCAATACATACGATGAAATTAATTAAAGTTCAACCAGACAGACAATCATTCCATACGCTTAAAGTTGTTGAATTTTCGGTCAAAGTGTCTGTGAATCCGACATAATCATGAAATCTTAACGTTGATAACTGATCAATGAAATGAGATCAAGGTCACCCAGACATGTATACCATTCTATTTTACATTCCTGGTATCTATGATGGGTCTATTTCCAAATACAGTTGTCCTTTAGCCATGATTACTTGGGGAAAAATCGCTAGATAAAAATAAAACTACATTTATAAGCAGGCTCTGAATTATAATTGGACATGTGCCAGACTGAAACTTAAGACCATGATGCATCTTTATACAGGATATATAGTATCTGCAACTTCTATGATCTTATGACGATTTGTACAAATAGGTAATGCAGTTATCACTGGATTAGGACTACTACGTCTTGTGTTATGTGACATTCGTCACACGGAAGACAATAAAATGAAAATATTGTTGCACCACAAACGATACTTTGCTACAAAAAGTGTTTTACATAGATGTCAATGAGTGTAAAATATCTTTTTGGGTAAAGCTGTTGTTCATATATGTTTATACTTTGACCATAAACTATGAATAAAATTGGCCATTTAGTTAATGTTTTAGACACAATAGTGACATCACAAGTAGCCTTTATGCACTAAAGTTTCTAGATTATATTTGCCTGTTCATTTATGAAAGGCTTGCATATGTTTTTTGTTTTTTATCTCAGGGTCCAACCAATGGCTCTTGTCATACCTCCTCCTTTCCCCATTAATTACTAACATGAAGAAAACTTCACACAAATTAAGCTACAGATGGTTTTGTTTTCATTAGTTCCCTAAACATTCACAAGTACACATGCTGAAATGTCTCCCCTGATTTATTTATGATTGAATTTACATTGAAAGTCAGTAATATGAAGGTTTCACTAAAAGTGTCACATAAATTTAACATTCACCAATAAATCAGAAAAATGAGGTCAAGTTCATATGAACCCTGACAGACAGACATTTATTATGTACACATTACAATCCTTCCATACACAAAAACAAAATAGTTTACCTATTGCTTATAGTATCTGATAAACTGACAAAACCACATATATTTGGTGTATGAAATGATTGGAAGGTGTACTTGAAATAGACCAAACAAGAAAAACTAAGCATTATTAAATGAACCATGAAAAAAAAGGTCAAGTTCAGATGAAACCTGCCACTTGGAGTGTTAGACATGTACACCTTACAATCATTTCATACACCAAATATAGTTGACCTGTTGATTATAGTATCTAAGATACGGATTAGACCACAAAAACTTAACATTGATCACTTATCCATTGAATGAGGTAGAGGTCAGTAGTCCCGTCTGACGGATATGTAGACCTTGCAAGTAACCCACATATCAAATAAAGTTATCCTATTACTCATAATAAGTGAAAAATTTACATGACAAAAAACTATAATTTGTTTTCAAGCAGTCATTGAAGGATTTAGAAATTGAGGTCAAGGACAATGGACATATGATGAACGGAAACTTCGTGACATAAGGTATCTGCATACAAGATATGAAGCATCCAGGTCCTCTATCCACTAAAATATAAAGCTAAATACATATAGTTAATGCTGACTCCACAGCCAGATTGTAATCTTTATGTCTTGCATGTTGCAACTTTTGTTGCAGGCCAAACAAAAACAATGCAAAGGAAAGATTTTTGACAATTGGTCAATCAGAATCAAATATTATCTCTTGTGGCCAAGTTTTGTCATTTAGTCAAAACCAAATGAGGATAATTTTTAGAGGCCCTCCAATCATCCTTCTTACCAAGTTTGGTTAAAATTGGCCAGGTAGATTCAGAGAAGATGATGAAAATGTGATTTTCCATATGGTTTTAATAGGAACTTCTCCACATTAGCCATTCATAGTTTCACCAACATTTTTCATTGTAGTTTCAGTGGAGAAGTTTTAAAAAAAAAATCAATCAGACACAAAAATTGCCTTTGGCAGCCATGTTTTTTATTCCATCATAACAAAATGAATAACTTTATTCAGGACCTTCTAGTTATTTTTCTGCAAAGTATGTTTCAAAGTTGCCTGGTTGTTTGATAGGTAATTGTATGTTGTCTAACGAGGTTAAAGGTCAACTTTTTTGTATTCAAATCAAGCTAGTAGAAAACATTCCAGTAAATACTTGGAGAAATGTAAATATGAAAGAAGTGAATGCAATGAAGACATTATCTGATAAAATACATTTTAAAGGGATTGTATTCATATGGACCAAGAACCCATTTAGGCTATATAATAATAAACCATTCTGAAAAAGAATTTTATTGCACCATTTATGAAACCGCACACCTATAAAATTTTTACTTTATATTAAGGAGTCAATACAGTTTTAAGGGATATGATTCTTTTAACACAATAATGTATGTTCAATTTCTCATTGTTACTTGTTTTGTCTAAGATGATGTTGTTATAACACAAACTAATCACAGGGATATTAACGAAATAACCAAACTCACATAAGAAATGTTTACCATTAGTCTTTTCAATGCAACTGAATTTTTTGTCTCAATTGTTGTTTTTTAACTGCATTTGAAATTTAGGGGAGATGTTGTTTAACCTTTCCTAACACTAGAAAGTGATTGCATGGAATCAACATAAAGTGCTATTTCCCAATCAATCAAGGACCATCACTCCCGAAGAGCAAAAGTGAAAATCAGCAATATTGTACTTGACCTTCACTTTATCAACAGTAAAAACGAACTGAAATTTGCAAATCATTGGTTAAGCAGTTCTATATATTATTACACAGAAATGACATTTCCTAATCAATCAGGCATAAGTGAAAATCATTAACATTTAAAATTACCTCCATTTTGTCATTTTAATAACTGCATAAAAAATTTGAAGAATTGGTTGAACAGTTTTAAAGATATTGCACAGAAACAGTATAAAGTGCCATTTCCCAATCAAACAAGGACCATTACTCCTGAAGGGCAAAAGTAAAAATCAGTAATATTGTACTTGACCTTAATTTTATTTTTTAACTGCATTTGGAATTTGGGGGAGATGTTGTTGAACTTTTCCCAACACTAGAAAGTGATTGCATGGAATCAACATAAAGTGCTAATTCCCAATTAATCAAGGACTATTACTCCTGAAGGGCCAAAATGAAAATCAACAATATTGCACTTGACCTCAATTTTGTCAGAAATGACAACATATTAAATTTTTAAAATCATTGGTTAAATTCTTTGTACTTTTAAATTCAGTTTATTCATTATCACGGAAATGCAATTCTTAAAACCATGATGAAATAGACAAGAACTTTCTATGATAAAATTCAGCTAGGGGACACATCTCTTCAATTCATTACAATAAAAGTTTTAAATCCCTGTTTAAAAAACTTTATTTCAGTTCTCCTAAGGCTTGTGTCCCACTAAATAACAATGTCTGTAATTTGACTAAGACAGCTATTACTAACACAATAAACGAAAGAATCACCAAAATGTTTGTCTTACTGGATGTCTGTATCTGAAATAGAAAAAAAGAAACTTGACATCAAATTTGAAATCTCATCATAATTCCAAATATACTATCAGTTCAATTCTTACTGACTACAACCTTAGACTTGATTTGGGATCATCAGCACTGTAATCTTAAAAGTTTTTAATAAATCTTTGATTTTACAAAAGTTTATAACACATTATAGGAATTGAGGAATAACCGTTCTGTAGTTGAAGAGTTATCGCTGTCATTTGGCGACTTGATGGTCGCAAATGCAGATTTATTAGCAACATGTAGCACAGCCAGTAAAACAGATATTTGTGACTGTCAAATCTCAATTGATGATGGCAACTCTTCAAATACAGTACTGTTATTCCTCCTGTTTTAATGCATTACAAAAAGAAAGTGTACATTAGAGCTTGTAAAAATGTATAAATTTAAGATAAAATAAAATCCCATGAAACTTCATGAATGATTTTGGCACTTTAACATCATGACAAGATGGAGTCATACAAATGAAAACTTTCAAACCAAAGGTTATTTCTTTACTTGTACTATTCAGATTTGGATAAAATCTCATTAATAAAACAGTACTCTTTTTAAGTTGGTAATGTTTCATTTTCTATCATATTGTTTTAATCAAACATTTATGAATTCAAGTATTTCAAAATGGCGGCCCAAGACATGTCATTTGTGGACTTGATGGTAAATTTTATCCAATGAAAAAACTTGTTACATAAATATCGCATTAGATTGACCAGTTATACAATTTTTTTAACATTATTTTCAAGTTTCTAGCATTTTAAACACTTCTGTAAGAATTAATACAAGTTATACTATAAGCTAAATTACAAGTTAAATACAGAATTTCAACTTCCACAAATGAGAATGACTAGTTTCATGGATGACCCCGTTTTCATTTTTATACTTAGTAAAAATGTTGTGTTGGTAAGAGGTCATATAACCACTGGCTGTTATTCAAAAGGATTTCTTATAAGCAACACTTAAGATTTTTTTTATTTAGACATTTTTGCTTCATTTTTGTCCCCAATAACGTTGTGGCCATCTAAAGCAAATCTGAAAGAGGACCATAAAATGAGAATTAAACAGGACCAACACATGATAATTATAACCAACCAAAGGACCAAATTAAATATGACAGGACAATTATACAAGACCACATAATTTTGACTATATTTGACAATAACATGATTACTATAATTATTGGAGAATACACAATTTTGAAAAAGGGGGGCCACTCTAATATAATAACCAAAAGCAAAAGAAAAGTTCCTGCATTAACTGTATTTACTTCATAGGGTGCACAACCAACCTCTGGCTCTGATAAAGGTCATAAAGTGATATAAATGGCTATTAATAAATATTGGAAAATTTCAACTGACAAAAGTCTGGTACATAAAGAATTTCTGAAAGTTTTAATTGAATCTATTTAATCATTTATTCATTATGCTAGCTTGGCTTATGATTAATCAACAATAGAAAACGATTGCTTTTTTTTTTATCAAAGCCATTAATTTAAACACAAATATTGGAGTGTTGTGTGTGTAGTGTGAATTTTTAATATATAATTAATATTGAAAACAATATTGGAAATTTCTTGATGGTTTTGACAAACAAGTAAAAACATTCTAAATACTCAGCATATAGTTTAAAGGCATTTAATAAAAGGCATGTTAACTTCAGTATAATGTAGAATAATCAATCATTGAGCTATTTTAATGTAAAATACAAAAATTAAATAGCACATGTTTGCCAAATATTCTTTAATGCAAATAAGACAAATTATGTAATCTTCTATTTGCTTTTTATTCAACACTGATAAATTTCTGCTGTTTGCCTTTTCATTATATTTAGGCTAAAGTAGAATTTGAATGTTAGCTCAATATTGCTTTTGTAATTTTGAATACATATAACAAAGAGTTTATTATTAATCAATATGAATGTCAACATTTTAGCTGAACAACAAACACTAAAATTATCAAGTAAATGAGTTTAATTAGTTATGTCCTCACAGCATATCAAGAAACTATTGTCTACATCACTATTATATGGACTTTTATAGTTTAACATGAAGGATTGCATAATATACAAAAAACAACAGAAACAATAGAGGTGTTACATATCACAGCTTCATACAACTTTTAAAAGCATGTAAATGGGAATTTCACAAGAATTTTATATATCAATAAATACTCAAAAGCTGTTTTTTCTATTTGTGTATTGTATTTATCAATTTTAGGCACTGGTAAGGTTCTTATCAAGGAAAATCCAGTAGGTAGGAATATCACAGAAATATTTCATGTTTATTCAATGATATTTTAGGTGGGGATAATTTTTAGATCACACATCCCACATGTTATTTAAGTAACTAGACAAACTTCTATTACACAAATATAACCCACATGCAGCAAATGACATTTTCCATGAATGATAAAACTATTTAAATGTATATCTTATAAGGTCATTTGTTAAACTATATTCTGTGGGGCAGCCATCTTGGGTTTGAGAGACATTAAAATCACAACCAAAATAGCATCATCTAACATTATATGAATCATTTTCAAGGTAGAAGCTGTCCCCATATATTTCTTATAGGATTCTATGTTTAAGTGTTTCCTTTGGTATAGGCCACCTAAGGTTTCAGAATAGCACAAAGATCACAAATTTTATTCATAACAATAAAGTTTTCATTTGTGCATTGATAAAATCAATCAACTTTGTGAAATATCTTTTTGAAGAGGAAGCTGTTTAAGTATATTTTTAGAAGGGTTTAATGTTAAAATTATGTCCTTTTGCAGCATTAATATTAGTTTTCTATCTGTCAACATCTGGAAGTGAAAATGAAGGTCTGAGCCAAACAATATATTGTGCACTAACAAATCATTTTAACATGAAAACATAAAACCAAAAGGAAAGTTGTTGAAATGAAATCAATAGATTTCTATCAAGAAATAAATAAACTGTTGACACAATTACATGTCTAACATGTATGTAGTATTGAGAGTACAATGCAAATGTTGACTAAAAATGACAATTATTTAACATGTAAACTATGTAAAACATCAGTCAACCAACCATGACTGCAGGTACAGGGCAAAATAATCTCAATAGAAATAAGATATGCCTATGCTTATGAAACTGCATACTAAATATCATTTACTGATCATACATGTTTTTTTTTAACTATGGTAACCTAATTTTAACATGTTAAACAATGCAAAAGTTTTAAAATCAATGATCAACGACTGCGGGGGAAGGGCCATATATTCTTCAATATGGAAATAAGATATAGTAATGCTAATACAACTGCATACCAAATATCATTGATTCACAATTACTGGTTAATCTTTAATGACCTAAACACAAACTTTAACATGTAAACTATGCATTAGCTGCAAGGTCAATAGACCATGTCTGAGGGGGGCGGGAGCTAATCTACACAGCAATGGTAAGTATTGATTTTATAATTCATAATCTTTTTTTGAAAATCCTTTCATAAATTATTGATTACATAACATAACAAAAGTTATTCATCAAGATCTTTTGATTATTGTACTCCTATATATTTTAATGAAATCATGGTATCATATAATATCTGTTGTTTACAAAGTTTAGGTTGTGGAGAAAAAAATCATAATCTATGGTACTTTTTATAAACTTCCGAACAGATTAAACATGATAAGTACATTTGTACTTCCATTAAAAAATAATCAGGAAATGTAATTTGTTTTCCAATTTATCTTTTGAATGAGGATTTCCTAATTAAAGGTAACTTAAAGATAAAAACATAAATCAGGAAATGTAATTGGATTGCCAATTTATCTTTTGATTAAGAGTTTCCTAATTAAAGTAACTTAAAAATAAAAGAAGAAGATTGACTGAATGATGACAGTTTTGTGTCCAAGGCCAAATATTACATTCTTACTCAAAAGGATGGTATGTTTATGCCATATGAATATACTATGCTTTGTTCTAATCTTATGTTGTGCTGTAACACCACTGTCCCAGGTTAGAGGATTGGGGGCTCAAAATCATGTTAAACACTGCCTCATTATTTATATATCTATCAGATATTTAATTTACAACAAAATTCAATGTTACAATATGTACTGCTTTAAGACAATCTTAGATCTCAGACAAAACCAAAATATTTTTTTAGGAATGACCACCATGAAATTTTCCATGCATAATATAACTACAGCCTATAGAGCAGATTTCAAGAAAAATTGTTTAAATTCATATGCCAAAGAGTCTGATTTTTATATAAATAACACATAGCTGAGAGGGTGATAGAGCAGATTGTTATCCCGAGACAACATTGTCAACTGAGGCGAAGCCAAGGTTGACAATGTCTTTTCGAGGGGTAACAATCTGCTCTATCACCCTCTCAGATATGTGTTATTTAATTTATTATACTGAATGTTCTGTTATTACCGTCATTTCAAATTCAAAGTAATAAACTATGACGTCTTGTACATAACAACCATCCGTATGTAATAAAGCGCACAAGCGTCTCCATGAAGGGTAATAGAGTATTTACAATAGGATAGAGTAAATTGTCTCCCTCATATTAACTTATCAAAATCTGGCATTTTGACATGAAGTATAATAAATACAATTATCCACTGTAGTAGCATCTTAGATTTTTGTGAAAATAAAAAAACTTGATGTGGGACATGCACTGTATTTATCAAGCAATTTCTATCATTTATAATTTTAAACTTGTACAGAATACTAGGAAAAATATTGAAACTGATCATGTTATTAAATAATAAACTAACCTGCGAAACTCCCGAGACTTGTCCTTGTTTCAAGGGTAATGGTACATCAGGTCTGAAAACATTTTTTGATAGAGCACATTTCAGAAAATGTTTTCCAGTCTCTGTAATTTGTACTTCCACTAATTTCCCAAGTAAGTGTTCATCTTTTGGTACTAATACCTGCAATTCAAAATATGCAATTATATAGCAGATACTTAAAAAGTGAAAAAGATTACAATTATGACAAATTTTAACATAGAACCAGTTTCTTTTCAAATTTAAGGAAGCCGAAGAAAAAATTAAATAAATATAAACACATTTCAGAATTTCTTTTTTCAAAACTTTTGGTTTACTCTGATCGCAGTAAAAAATGTTTTATGAAGACTACCTCTATTCCATAAGGCTGTATGAAATTTCTATAGAGAACACTCTAATTCATCCCAAAATATTATCTCAAAGATATACCTACTTGATCATAACATTCATTGTGACCAACATAGTATTGTCTGTCCTTGGATACTTCTGTAACCAATACATTCTGTATCTCACCTAGCTACAATGAAAAATAAATGAAAAATGACATGGATTTCAGTCTGCATAAAAAAACTGATTTCAATGGTCTACATTTTATTTAAGAGAATCTCCCCAACAAAATACTTTTAGAGGAATCAAGAATTTCCCAAGGTGCTACTAAAATGTGCAAAAATACCCATATAGTTTCACAGTAAACTTAACCTTGTACAAAAATTATCTCCTATATCATTATACAAGTTAGAAATATGGATCTGATTCCATCATTAATGATACAAAAAATACTGCAAAAACAGATTATTTAGTAAATAAAATTAAATTACAAACACAGAAGGTTTGATGTGGCCATTTTTCACCGCTGTTTGAAAACTAACCATCCTAAAATGTTTCAAGTATATAAATCATAATATTTCTGAAAATCACAAAACAGTAGCAAATCAGTTATCAATCAGTAAGACCATATTAACTAGGGATGCTATGAACTATTGTTGGCCCTATATATATTATACTTTAAGTTCATTATCATAATCAAAATGATCACGATTGAAGCATTTATACATTAGATTTTTTTCTTTTTCTTTTTTTTTTATATATTTGTATTTGGACCTAAAACATTTAAAAAATGTAAAACTGCACGAATCACTTTTGAGATCTGAGTATAAATTGTTAAGATATTAGCAAATAAATAAGGTAGATATTGCTAACAAAACCAATTTACTAGCAACGTATGTGTGCCTATTTGGGATGCAAAATAAATTTTAGTAGGAAAGGCCTCATGGACAAGGTTTTTGAACTTGGAAAAAGGGTAGTGAAATTGAGTTTATATGACTTAAACACTGCCAAGTATTTTTCTGAATTTGAAGTTTTGAAAGTCATAAGTTCATTAACACATATGATGTTGACTGAAGTTATCTTTTCTGATAGGTAAACATATCTGTGACTATACAATAATACAACAAAACCCTGTTTTATATTTTATATATATATATATATATATATATATATACCTTGTGGTCATAGGGAGTGTAAGACTGAAATAATTCAGAAACAGCTTTAGTTCTTTTCTTCACCTGTAATAAATAATTCCAATTAATACATGCATATAAGATTTTTTTGGTCTTAGTAAACCATAGCATTTATAACAAAGAAAGTTTCACTTCAATACTGGATTTCAGAGACAATGGACAAACTCTGAAGTAACGTATTATGATTTATCAATCAGATGACAGTTAATTATTTACCTGTATATCACTAGATTATTATATCTTGTCTAACCTCATGCATATTTCTGAAAATATTTATGTAGCATGATGGCATAAATTTAAGCTCCTTTGCATTTACAACAACCTTAAAGACATTTACCTGTTGTGCAGGAATACGAGGCATTTTAGCTGCAGGGGTGCCAGGTCTAGGGAAGTACTGATTAATAAATAAACTTGGAAATTTGTATTCTTCAACTAAATCCATTGTTTCTTCAAAATCCTGTAAACAGATAAAGAAGAATGTATAAACTATAATGTGTCAAACTGTTTATTGGTTACAAAATTATTATACATTTATCATTAATATATATTATATCCTTTCTCCAATACATTCATTTGGTTGAAATTTACTAGGATATTAGGATTTTAAAATAAAACAATTTGATAGATATTTTTTTATCAGAATAGTGAAAACAATAAGGAGAAAATATATACACCATAACACTTAGTTTAATCAAAAGAGTTTCGTAGTTCATCCATACATACCATGGCTTTACAAGTCAACTGTTTACATCTTTGTCTTTTTGGTCTATGGTGGACAGTTGGCTCATTGGCAATCATACCCCATCTCCTTATTTTTATAATTATATATTAAAAACAAGACTGCATGTGCTGTCGTGCTAAGCATACCCTCCTCATAATTCAAAGTATTGAAAAACAAGAAATAGGTGTCTGACATATCCAAACATCTCACAAAAGTTCATCACTGTTAAGCTGTTGAGCAAATATGAAGTCATTCTGTTCAATAGAATTGGAGAAATATGTGACAAAAAATTTAAAGTTTTTTTATTGAAAAATTGAAAGTATTCGCAAACAGAAAGTAGGTATCTGACAGATTCAAAAGTGCTCACACATTACTGCCCATTTCTTTCAAGCTGCTAACCAAATATTTCATTTTGTAGATGAATCCGAGAAAAAATGACGAACATATTTGTTGAATGAAGAGATTGACAGACTGATGGACAAGGGGATTTTTAATAGAGTCCCCCCCCCCCCCCCACAGTACCACACTATTATCTATAAGTATAAAAAGAACGATGTAGATTAGATTACAATAGACAAAAATTAATAGTATACACATATTGGACAAAGCTGATAAGATGTGACAAAATAAGTACAAAATGTTGCAATACCTTCTCTGTTTCTGTGGGAAAACCACATATAAGATCTGTTGCTATAGTAATATCAGGTACCCTGAAAAAGGACAAAGGATAACATTAATTAAAAGATTAATCTAAACGATACTGATTATTATTAAATATTTTGCAGCAATATGAAGTGACATCGGAAAATATTTTGAAGAACTTTTTTCATCTTCAATTTTTGAGATGTATGTTTTCAAGTGCAATTAAATATTTAAATATCATATTAAAGTTAATTTCATAAACCAGAAGAGCAGTGGCGGATCCAGGGGGGTTCCGGGAGTTGGAACACCCCCTTTTTTTTGACGATCAATGCATTTGAATGAAGACATATAGTTGGAACCCCCCCTTTATCCTGGGTTAGGAACCCCCCTTTTATAAATGGCTGGATCTGCCCCTGAAGAGTCTGACAATCTGAATTGTCTATCTGATTTTATGATAAGCACAAATAGTGTCATTCATTAAGACAGACTAATTCAAAGTGATTTTAAGAAATGCTATTTTTGTTGGAAAATTGTCAGTTCGTTACAAAAATCTTCATTCCTTAACAGTGTCAAACTATAATTCTCATTTTTTAAAGTGAGATATAAACCAAAAGTAAAAATCTGTGCATAATGGCTTACTTGTATATCAATTTTGTATAGTTCTTCATGCAAAGCTTTAGCTTTCAATTCAATAATAAAGATAAAATATATTGGTTTATGTGAAAATGTCAACATACTCTTTTAATTCTTTTATGCTGTCTGCATGACTTTTTTTATACATATCATAATGTCCTTTGATCTTGCATTAGAAAACATTTAATTACAATTTCATCTCTGACAAGTAAAACATTCCTAAAACAATAACCATTATAATACACAGCCAGACACAGGATGAATGCAAAGAACATTAATATTAGAGAAACTTTACATGTAGAATTTTAAATTGACTACACAACCTAAAAAATGTGCTTTTTTAAATTTAAATAAATTTGATTTGATTTGATTTGATTCTTTGGTGTTTACCGCCACTTTCAGCACTTTTGTGCTATTTCTTAACAATCAGTTTTTATTGGTGGAGGAAGTCTTAGTGCCAGGAGAGAACCACCAACCTTTGGTAGGAAAACTGACAATCCTAGTGAATTAAGATTGGAGTCAGGCACACCTGCCACAGGCTAGAATTGAACTCACAACCTCAGTGTTGACAGGCTAGTGATACAGTTGCTCGACTACTTAGACAACTCGACCTACAAGGCCCTTATTTAAATAAATGATTTTGTTTTGTAAAGTATACATTAATGACAAGTTGTTTTGTATACCCTTGTATTACATTTTTTCTAAAATAAGAAGGATTAGAAGGAGATGTTGGGTATCATCAATAACTCAACACAAAAAGATAAAACACATCTACAGGTCTATTTTGCATTATTTTTCAAGGGTCAAAGCAAAATTAACTGTTTGGCTTCTGAAAATCTGTCTGCAGCTTATCTATCATTGTAAACATCATAAGTTATTTTCAATTCATACCTCTGTTTAAGAAAATCAACAACATGTCTAAAATCAGCTTGGCTGTATTCACGTTTCATGTCCATCAGAACACTATCAGACGCAGACTGGACAGGAACATGAAGAAATTTATAAACTCTAGGATGATTTAAAATCTTTGCCATTTCCTGAAAACAAAATTATCAGGATATCTCAGTACAGATATTTCAAAAGTAATTTGAATGAACATCAAAAATTTTGGCAGTTTAAAAAAAAAGAAAATTGAAGCAACATGAATTCAAATACAAGGCTATGAAGGGTAAACATAATATTTAATTTTCTACATCATTAAATTAGAATTGATTTCCAAGAGTCACTGGTATTATTTAAACAATTAATTTTTTATATGCTGGACATTCTAACAATTGAAGTGTTGCAATTGTTTAATACCTTCTTTTAACTATAGTTATTTTCAGAAACCATGCAACCTAGACAAAGAGAAGATTGATAACATAGATGCAACAGTTACAACTTCTATGAACATGTTCAGGTGAACTAAAAAAAAAGAGAATAAAAAGTTAAATCTAACCTCTAAGTGTTCTAAGATGTAAGGAGGATTTGTCATACCAAGCCTCATCCTGGCACCTTCAGGTATAACCTCTACTAGTTTCCATAGTAACTGAGGTAATGTTACATTGATATCATGACCATATGCTCCAAGATCTTCTGATGTCAACCAGATCTCCACCACACCCTCTATGAAATACATTATTCAAATACTACTTGACATAACTTCAAAATCTTTGCTCAGCTTGTGAAATTAATGTTACCTTTAAATTGATGTGACTCAATGTTAAAGTGTTTATCTCATCATTCCTTTTTTTATTTATATTTGTCTATTTATTTTGTTGAAAGACAATAAATTGCATTTTCACATACAGAAAAATTACATATAGCTTAACATCTTCATACTTTAATAGATATAATATATGCAATTTACATTACAACAGGTATTTCATAAACATAAAGTTTTGGAAGGACATCTGTCAGTTATCTGAATTGTATCTGAAGTACTGTAATAAATCAATTACCTTCAAATGACTGTTTAGCTCTAGCTACAATGTCCTCTATAGGATAACTGCCTAACTCTCCTCTTGCATGCTTAGTTTTGCAATATGTACACTGATTCAAACACCTAAAAAATATAAAAATTTGAACTTGAGCAAAACAAATGTATTTTACAAATCATTAAGAGAATTTCAATTGAGTACAGAATTTTTGGAAAACCCTTTCTGATTTGTATTTGCTATAATTAATGGAAAGGTAAGTCACATAAATTTAATCTCACACTTCTCATTTAATAGCATAGTTATTTAGCAAACATTAAGCACATACATACAAACAGCACTTTTTATAAATAATGTTTTGAATATACCCAAGATAATTTTTTATTACAGACCACAGAGCTATTTATCAAGGTGTGCATAAAATAAATCAAAGCTGTTTAACACAACCCTGTCAGTATACTGAAGATACATGTACACTCACCCTGTGTTTATGGCAATAATTTCTATTAAAGGATTCTTTCTAACTTTAGGTAAACTCAATGAAGCACCACCTGTCTTCTTTCCTTCTGCTTTCTTTTGTCCAAACAACCTGACTGAGTGTCCTTTATTAATTATAACAATAATCAAATAATTATTTTTCATTTAGATAAAAAGACATAAAACGATACAAAAATAAACTGTTAACACAGAAATATGTCTCGCCTTTTTGTTTTTTTGATAGTAAAGTGCAAATGTTGAAATCAAAATAGCAATACTTTAACATGTAAGTTAAGAAAATATTCAAAGTCAATGAACCATGACTGAAGGCACAGGGCCAAACAATCTATATGGAAATGAGATGTGCCAATGCTTATACATATGCATACCAAATATTATTGACTTACCACTAGTTCCCCAATAACTGACCTAATCACAAACTAATACATGTAAACTAAGCAAAAGTTTCAAAGTCAATAAACCAAGACTAAAGAGGTAGGGACAAACAACCACCATGGAAATGAGATGTGCCTACCCCTAAATAACTGCATACCAAATATCATTGACCTACCACTATTGGTTCCCCATAAACTGACCTAATCACAACTAATACATGTAAACTATGCAAAAGTTTCAAAGTCAATAGACCATGACTGAGGGGGTGGGGTCAAATAATCTCAATGGAAATGAGATGTACCAATGCTAGTACAACTGAATACAAAATATCATTGTTCTACCACTAGTGGTTCCCCATAAGCTGAACTAATCACAAACTAATACATACATATAAACTATGCAAAAGTTTCAAAGTCAATAGACCACGACTGAGGGGGCGGGGTAAAATAATCTTCATGGAAATGAAAAGTGCCAATGCTAATACAACTGCATACAAAATATCATTGACCTATCACTAGTGGTTCCCTAATGACAAACTTATACATTGTTATGACACTGTCACCGACTTTCGAAACAGCATACCAATGTCTTGCTTTTTGACTCCATCAGCACGAAAAAAAACCTTTATTTGAATACAATCTACAAGTTATTGTTTAAATGTCTTTAAGTTATGATGAAAATTATTAAAAACATGGATTGATTGGAAATTCTATATTCTATGAAAACAAAACTGAACAAGAGGATATTTTGACATTTGTTAAAAAAAAAATTTTAATATCTGTCTTTTAAAATTGAAGATGCAAAACATAATTTTCAATGTTTTTGTACCTTTAAGAGTTTCTTCCACAACATCAACAACTCTGTCTATTTGTTGTACTCCTATGACACTAATGCCCTGTAAAATATATCAATGAGGAATTAACATTTCAGTATATTATATATTTTTTCTGTAAACAAACCAATGCTATCATATAATTTAGGTATGGAAATCCGTTGACTTTTTGAAGATAACTTTCCAGCACCATTATATATCCCTACTACAAACAGTTTTACAATAGGAAAAGGATTTTCATAATTGAAACCATATTTTAAAATTTATTTCATCAAGAACTTAAATAAAGGTTGTTTTTTTTAAATAGAACCAGTATGTTTTACATGATTTTAAAGTACCTACCTGTAAATAATCTGACCTTGGTTGCCCTTGTGGAACACACCCAGCAACAACTAAGTATTTTGATAGCTCTCTTGCTTTTGTTATCTCATTTCTGAAATGATCTTCTGCTGGGTTTTTAACTGTACAACTGTTTAACAACCATAAATCTGCATCTTCTTTAAGATCTAATCAGAACACAAAATCATGGGTCTAAAACTCAAATTGCTGAAATTATGGCTTGCTATAAGAAAGGCCATATAAATGACGATGTCTACTAATTCAATAGAAATGTTTCAAAAGTAAATCTTCTTAAATTCCAATAACAGTAAAGAAAAGAATAACAATTCTTATAGTGCACTTGAACATCATTAATCATGGAAGCACTAACACTGCTAAGATTTTAGCTCATTAAAAATAAGAAATTGTTTGCCTTTACCCAAATAATTTTACAAAAATCCTGATTGTTTAAGGAATTTTTTAAACTGTGTTTCAACAGTGTTTTGTGAATTTTTATAGATTTTCATTTTTTGAAGAAACTATAAAACACTTTCAAGGCTTAGTGCAGTTAGAGACTTATTTTTACTTCAATGAGACTTAGTATCCTGGATCCATATATATTAGTATTACATACCTGTTATTTTGTATCCAGATGCAGCTAACTGTCCTGCCATATATTCACTGTCAGAATTATTATGTGAACATCCCCAGGTTTTTACATATATCCTTTGTGTGCCTGAAGTACAAAATTAACAACATTTATGATTCAACTATTTTATTTATTATTACTATTATAAAATTCCCCTTTTTTATTATAAATACTGAGATTGACAATATACCACTATCAGTTTCACATTTGAAAATTTCAATTTTGCATTTTTGAAAGTATCTAAATATATGTGTTTCTGCTTCTATCAGACATACTACAACAAATATCACATAGTTCTAGTACTGAATCCAAAGTGTCTGACCTGGAATAAAACTGTCTGTTTGTAAGTTTTTTGTCCTGTCCATTTTAGTGAGACGTTTTGCCCTTGGTACAACATGCTTATATCCTGTGTTGTGTCTTATATCATCAGCTGATGTTCCCTTGGCAACAATATCTTCTATATCATCTACTGTATTATCACAGGCAGCAGGCATGACTGTAAAACAGAAACTCAGAAAATCATCAATATAGTGCAGATTTGTTTATGTGTAACTCATTAACTATATTTGCCTTTAATATATAATCTGTATTTTTATTAATGCTTTTGAACAAGTATTTTAAATTATGGCTCTGGTCTTGCTTCAGATCATAAAATAAGTTGATAAGTATAAAAACTAGATATCATTGAGATGGGAGCCATCTCTGTGGGCCCCGCTGTGAATAATGTGTGGTAAAAAATTAGTATCTTTATCATTGGACATGGGGTTGTCAACTGAAACCGAAGTTTATGACCTTGACCTTTGACCTAGGAAGTTGTACATAAATTATGACACACCCTCTGGTGTTGGTTTATATACATGTCAAGTATAAACTTTGAAATCATAACAGTTCTCAAGATATAGAGCTGACACGATCTTTACCATAGGATATGGGGTTGTCAACTAAAACCAAAGTTTTTGACCTTGACCTTTGACCTAGGAAGTTGTACATACATTATGACACACCCTCTGGTGTTGGTTAATTTACATGTCAAGTATAAACTTTGAAATCATAACGGTTCTCTAGATATAGAGCGGACACAATTAGTTACGGACGGACAGACTGATCACTATAGGGCGTCCGCCATTCGGTGGGGCCCTAATTATTTGTGTTTCTTAATTATATAAATTACTGTAATAAATCACTTTCCTCATCATGGGCCTTTTAATTAGAATAAATAGCCCTCATAACAGTAAAAATTTCAATAAGAAGAAAAATCTATTTAAAAATAAATATATACTAGTGAATCCAAAATCTTCCTATTTACAATTTCCATCCTTTGCATTTGCACAGAATTTTGTCACGGATCATGTTTTTCTCAGGATTTTTGTAAAACATCATAAAGAGGAATGTGATTTCCCGCAATTTTCTATCTAATTACACAATAAAGAAGCATACATTTACAATTTCCCCAATTTTGTATATCTGATTCCTCAAAAAAGAATGATCAGATGATGATGACATGCATTAAGACAATACAAATAAAATTGTACCACTTCCCTCAACTTTTTTTATCCTCCAGTGTTCTCCCCAGGATTTTTGGATAGCACCAGGGTAACGCGTGTGGACTTCTTGGTGAAATATTTCATGCAATCAGTTGTGTCGCGTCGCGTCACTTAGCTCTAGTTACTGTAGTTTTTATGTCTCTTGTTTTGTTTTAACAATGTGGTACTGTGTTATGTAGACATTGATTCAGAAAATTATTGGTAAAAAAGAAGTAAATAAAAAAAACAGTTTGTATAATTTAATATTAAAAATATTCATCTGAATTTAAAGTGATTAAATCTTTTATAAAATCCAAAATCAATAAAAATAAAATATCATTCAAAAGAGAACAAAAATGTTCAATTTAAAAAACTTTATAGCTTCTAGAAAAAAAGTTGTTGTATGTGAAAGGATTCCTGTCATAAGAAGATATAAAATAACAAGAACAATTGCAAATATTGTTTTATTATTTGAACCAGTTTCTATCTTAGATTTTAATTAAAAGAAATTTTTCATAAATTTTAGAACATTTTGCCATAGATTTCATGTAAATATTAACCTTTCTTGTCTTTTGGTGATAATCAAACATAGATACAGACTTAATACTGCCCTAAAATCTAAATCTTTATTTGTCATGAACTATGTAAAAAGAATTCCTAAATCTATAAATTTATCTTTGGTATATAGATCTATAAGTAACCATATTCAATGTCAACAACTAAGTCTCCCTATTTTCCCGCCTAAATGACAGGAAGTAGATATAAATAGATTTAATTAACATGTGCTTATGGATAAAATTTGCAAGATTACTTCTGTTATTCATTAATTATGCCTTTTTATGGATATAGAGGACCTCTACAGAATACAGATACATTTGATTCTGAAAGGGAGATTCGTTTGTATTTACAGAATTGTTCTGTCATTAAGCATTTCACATCTCCAATCTGCACAGATTTTTTTTTTGCTTGCATGAGGCTGTTCTTGGAGCTTTAAATTGCATAAATTATTAAAATATTTTGAATTTCTTCAGTTTGTTAAAGCTTTTACAAAATGCGATTATATATAAGATAGGGAACAAATTGAAAAAAAGTTTCAGGGTCAACTCACCTGATAATTAATAGAAATTTTTGTAAACCTTTATGATAAGATAATAAAATGCTGGGGCGCAGCTTGATACGACCATAGAAGTCGAACCCTGAACAGTTGGGGCAAGTATGGACACAACATTCAAGCTAGATACAGCACTGAATTTGGATTGTAATTAAATATTTGACACAGCATATGTTTCTGACACAGAATGAATGTGGTCTAAGAACTTAAAATTTTTTAATTTACCTATTCATGCCATATCATTATTATTTGCTTTTATATATAAATCAGAAATAACCAATTTAAAATGGAAAATTTTAAAGAAAAAAAAAGGAAAAAAAATCCCCCTCCCCAATTTTTTGAACCCCCTTATGAATCATCACCCCCAAACTCAATCCCAGCCTTCCCTTTGTGGTATGGTACCTTGCAGTACAATTTCAGAGAGATCCATACACTTGAACACAAGTTATTGTCTGGAAACTAGAAAAATGCTTATTTTTGGCCCCAAAAAGGCCCCTTATTCCTAAACGTTTTTGGCAATTACCCCCAAACTCAATTCCAGCTTTCCCTTTGTGATATGGAACCTTGTAGTACAATTTCATAAAGATCCATACACTTACACACAAGTTATTGTCATGAAACTAGAAAAATGCTTGTTTTTTGCCCCTTTTTGGCCCCTAATTCCTAAAATTTGGAGGCAATTACCCCCAAAATCAATCCCAGCATTCCCTTTGTGATATGGAACCTTGTGGTACAATATCAGAGAGATCCATACACTTACACACAAGCTATTGTCATGAAACTAGAAAAATGCTTGTTTTTTGCCCCTTTTTGGCCCCTAATTCCTAAAATTTGGAGGAATTACCCCCAAAATCAATCCCAGCATTCCCTTTGTGATATGGAACCTTGTGGTACAATGTCAGAGAGATCCATACACTAACACACAAGTTATGTCTGGAAGTTACAAAAATGCTTATTTTTGGCCCCTTTTTGGCCCTTAATTCCTTAACTGTTGGTACCATAACCCCCAAAATCATTCCCCACCTTCCTTTTGTGGTATTGAACCTTATGGTAAAATTTCATAGAGATCCATTCACTTAAACTAAAGTTAGAGTGCGAAAACCAATGTGTCTTCAGACGACGACGACAACGACGTCATACCAATATACGACAGCAAAATTTTTTTGCGGTTGTATAAAAACATGCCAAAGTCTTTCGCTAACATTTCAAGAATCAAAGCACTGTAAGCGCTGTAGGCAGTTAACCAAAAACCAAGGCAAACGTAATTATGAAAACTGTGGCAGTGTTGCTTCAAATTTTTTTTTTCAGATTTGAAAGAACAAACATTAACCATTCGTATATTGTACATTTATGTTTATTTAATGAATTGATTATTAAGGCAAATTAATTAATATTTTATCAAGGTTTTCTAAAGCAACGCATATATCAATGTATATTTTTAATGGTGAGTCTGCAGTGGTACAAGTTCGCAATGATTGCAGGTGTTCTAGTTGGTAGTTAACGTTGGTACCAGTTGACTTTTAGTGGTACAAGTTGACGTAATTGTATGAATGGACTTGCTTCCCTGGAAGGAACACTGTGTTTGGGTTCTACAGTACAAAAGTTATGAGACACAAATCAGACAAATGTTTACTACTACAGGGATCAAAGGTGAGGTCTGACTGCCCTGACCATAGTAAATGTAAATGACCCCCACCTTCACCCCAAGTCCGTGATATCACTCCATACCAAGTTTGGAATAAAATGACAGGTGATTATAAAAGAGGGACGAAAGATACCAGAGGGACAGTCAAACTCATAGATCGAAAACAAACTGACAACGCCATGGCCAAAAATAAAAAGACAAACAGACAAATATTAGTACAGATGACACAACATAGAAAACTGAAGACTAAGCAACACGAACCCCACCAAATTCTGGGGGTGATCTCAGGTTCTCCGGTCAAATAAAACAATTGGTCAAACATTCTTGGGCTTTACACTGCTTGAAAGATTTATATGTTATCTTTAAAATGAGCCATAAATGAAAATTTTTATAGGCCCAGAAATAATTCAAAAAATAATTAAAGTAAATTCAATTTACCTAGACTCATTTTTTGCATCAATAAAATTTAAAAAAAAACAAGAAATAATTGTAACAGGATGCTTTTACGAAGTCTCCCAAACAAAGCTCCCATAATTCGTCATTCCCATGGTCGCCTGACATTGGGCAAAGTCCAGTACACATTGGTTTGGTCTAGTAAAGTGATATGCATATGTCACATAATGTGACGCCTAGGAGATTGACCCTGTATATCATTCAAATTATTTTGAAATGACAAACAGGAATAAATATGGTTTAGGAGTGGGGACCGTTTACAAGTTCTCAAACAGGAGGGGGTGGGTTGACCCCACGGACTCCCCCTATATTTCATTTGATTTGTTATATTGTCCCATACATGAATATATATGGTTTAGGAGTGGGGATTTCAACCGTTTACAAGTTCTCAAACAATAGGGGGTGGGTTGACCCCAGGGACTCCCCCTATATTTCATTTGATTTGTTATATTGTCCCATACATTAATATATATGGTTTAGGGGTGGGGATCTCGACCGTTTCCAAGTTCTCAAACAGGAGGGGGTGGGGTGACCCCAGGGACTCCCCCTATATTTCATTTAATTTGTTATATTGTCCCATACATGAATATATATGGTTTAGGGGTGGGGATATCGACCGTTTACAAGTTCTGAAACAGAAGGGGTGGGGTGACGCCAGGGATTCCCCCAAATTTTCATTTGATTTGTTTTATTGTCCCATACAAGTATATATATGGTTTAGGGGTGGGGATCGCGACCGTTTACAAGATAAAAGAACATTTTCA